TTCACTTGCCCATTTGTTCGTCAAACCCCTGGCATCGTGATTTCTTTCGCGGTTACGTTGACCAGCACTTCTTTTTTTGTATAAGTTCTTCGATCAGAACAAGATTTATACTTGTCGCATGCCAATCTTTATCTTAATGTTCGTAAATTATGCGTATTAACGAATGGTAATTGAATCTCGCCGTTTTTATTGCAGTCGTTTACTGCGAGTCGAGAAATCGATCCAATCGTTCCCTGTGAATCGAGAAATCGATTCCTTTAAATTAACAAATGCGACATTTAACACAATTTACGCATCTCTTCATTTCCCCCGCTTTCTGCACGTCGCTGGCAAATTTCGTCTCCTAGATAACCAATAAATTAAATACGACAATCGCCAAATTTTATAAAACAAAGAAAACACTGTTTCACTCGCTCGCGAAGGGGTTGATGCCGCGCCCAGAGATCTTAGGCGGCCGTGGCGAACGGCAACGGCGGGGCGGCTCGCCCCTTCCCAAGCGCTCTAAAACTGTGCGGAATTCGAGCAGAGAGCCGGTCAGGTCTGTGATAAACCGCCGTACAATTACTAGGCTCGGCGCGCTAAAGCATAGAGAACGCTTTCGAGCGCCGTTCACCGTTTGATATCCTTGTTCGGCGAACGGCATATCACAGTCGGCCGAAGATATCGTTCGCCCGGGGCCGGGGCCGGGGCCGGAATCCGGCGAAAACTCGCGGAACGCAATTACTATTCGCGCTCTAATTAATTCGGAAGCTCGAAAGTCGGATAAGTTTTCGGGGGCCCGCGCCGCAGGGGGCCGCGTTCGATGCACTTTGAACGAACGGCTCGTTAATTACGCTCGAAGCGAGCGCACCACTCCCGTTCGGACGGTATCCCCGATTCTTTTCACCGGCGCGGCTCGGAAAAGAAACTGGACCTCCCTTTCATCCGGCCACCGTCGCTCCGTGTCCGTGCGCGAAATTTTGTTTCACTCGCTCGCCGCCGGTTACACCGTCTAATCCGCCCCGTAGATTCATGCTCGCGCTCGAAATCGTGCCGCGGATCAACCCTTAAGGGACCCTTCTGGATCGTCGGGTCGGCTCGTTTCGATCGAACGTTCCAATCGATCGCATCGATCGCTCGATAACCTACGATTCGACGGAAGTTTTCGTCCGTTAACGGCCTTCAACCCCTAACAGTGCACCCCTAATGCAACTCGCGACGCGCTCGTTGCGAATGTAATTTAGACGTACAGTAATGTCCCTCTTAGGGAGACATTTACTGTATAAGCTGAGCGACACTTGGAGAGAATTTATTGTAATCTGAGCGCGAATTAGGGAGACATTTACTGTACAAGTTGTGCGACAATTGGAGAGAGTTTACTGTAATCTGAGCGCGAATTAGGGAGACATTTTTACTGTATAAGCTGAGCGACAATTGGAGAGAGTTTACTGTAATCTGAGTGCGAATTAGGGAGACATTTACTGTACAAGCTGAGCGACAATTGGGGAGAGTTTACTGTAATCCGAGCGCGAATTAGGGAGACATTTACTGTACAAGCTAAGCGACAGATTGACCACAAAAATGGACAATTTGGGAAGAGCAGATACGATTATTCGAGCTTTGCGGTTTATTTTTACAGTTATCTCCTCTTCCCAAATTACCCATTTTAATGGACGATCTGAGCGTCGGTAAGGTTGGCGAGGCAGTGGACGCGTTGAAGCAAAGCTTTACCAATTACTAATTTATTTTAGTAATTTATTAGCGTCGAGAAAGCGATCGAGCAACTGATCGACTGTGAAAGAAATCGCGCATGGGGTTGACACTTTAATCGTGTCAACACTTTGACCGTGTGTTTATTAACGCGCGCGTCGCCTCGTTACAATCTCCGATGCTTTAACGCAGCATAATGCGTCAACGAAGAAAATTTCATTAATTTATTTCGTGCGAGAAGGATCGCAGAAGAGATTCGCGGCTCGAACAATCTCAAAAGAAGAAACGCGCGAGGGGCTGTTTCAAAAGCGGAAGAAACCCGAGGCTATTTCCTTCCAAGAAACACAAAGATATTTCTCGTTCTCCTGCGTTCGCCCGGCCGCTTGAATATCAACGACAGGAAAACTTGAATTTTAATCCAATTTCTTAGAACAGAATGCGCTATTCACATCCTTAAGAGGTCATTAGTAGAAATCTCCATCGCGGATCGTGGCTCGACGAGGTACGGCGAGTGGTTTAATGCTATCGTTTGTTATTCCTCTAATTTCAGGTCTTGCTTATCGGTAGACGGCAGATCTCCGAGCAATTCCGACGCTCGATTTCTTCGGAGATAGCATAAATAGATCGCGGTTATTATGCGTTCGCGGCGGGAGACAAGTTCCAGCGAATAAGCATCGATCGAGATAACTATTTTCAAGTCGTAGAAACGATTGAATAAAATGATCGAACAAATCGTCCGTCTGGCACTGGCTCTTCTACGTGTTTCAATATTTTTACTCGAACATCCACGGTCTACTCGTCGATGGACCTTACGCATTTACGGCGAAAAATATAATTAGGTGTAATTTAAAACAGTGGAAATATTCGAAGAAATTCCAGAAAGTGAAATTCTTAAAATTATCAACAGACGTATAAATTGTTCGTGCTGATCCCTACGTTCTGCGATTGATGCGGCCAATTTTTATTCAATCATTATGCATAATGATCTGCGGTATAGTTGTCGGTACACGCGTTTCCATGCACTTTAGGAGCGCGCTGTTGGATTACGGATGTATAACTATAAGTATAACGAAGTTATTGTCCGAGAGCGAAAGTAATTCAACGTTCTCAGAACCTTTGAAATTAAGATAGAAAAGTATCGGATGCGTCGATGCTTTATTTCGGGTCTCTGAAGCCTAATCACGCCTTCAAGTTGACAGCCGTTGCTGAAGATTCGTTCGGCGAATCTTTATGAAAATGAATTCCTTAGTGTACGAAGACATTTTTATATGATAAAGTACCGGTAAGATCAATTCTTCCTAATTGACGCTTTGCTTGGGAACAAAAGTGGACAATTTGGGGAGAGAAGATACGATTATATAATATAATATAATATACTATAATATTATATAATATAATATACTATAATATATAATATAATATAATATAATATAATAATAATACATAATAATATAAAATATTATATAATACTATAAATATACTATTATAAAGGTACTATCGTATCTCCTCTTCCAAATCGCCCATTTTTCTTGGCAATCCGAGCGTCAATTAGGTTGACCTTACTGTCCACTCAACCCTTATCCCATTATCGACATAAATATCGAGAGATCCGCGAGGAACGTTATCGGGAACGAATTACGCACGGGAAATGGAAGTTGCTATCGAGCAGAATCGATGGGAAAGGCCGTGGAAGGGTCGGCCAAAATAAGGGATCGGTTCGACGAACCGTGGCGTTGCTCGAGAAGTTTCCGTGATTCCTCTCGGAATAAGACTTTCGACTGCGGGATTCTCGAGTCGAGGGGCAATCACCGCTTACACCTATCGGCCGAAGGACCTCTCGAGCCCCGAGGGGTGGCGGCGAGGGGGGGAGGGGAGAGAGTCCTGGTGTCTAAGGAGCAAGCGGGATCCGAGCCGGGGCCGAGGCTTTTTAAAGCGGCCGGTTATCGTCGCCCGTTTCGCGCCGGCCCGGGGGGCGCCCCGCCTCGCCGCTTCTTTCGCCGCTTTTCGTCTGAAAACCCTTTAGAGAACGGGACGCTTAAAAGCCTCGGGTACGAAAATTGCCGGCTGACCTAAATAACGATCACCACTTCATTCATCGCGCCGCGGAAAAACGCTGCCAGCACGCAGAGGAGGAGGCCTACCCCGGTGCCGGGTAGCCGGGCGGCAGAGAGCCGGCTTTCCCTCTCTGTCCGAGAAATAATTAGCCCTGGACCCGCTGTCGGCCGCGAATATCGTGCGTATCGAATCGATAAACCAGTCCGCCGCCGGCTACGGACACTTGTTTACCGTCGCCGCCCCCGCGGAATCGCCGACGCCGCGAGATCCTGCGGGATCCTGCGTGAGAGATCGTTCCGCCTGGATCAATCGGGCGGCGGTCCGGCTCTGGGCCGACTCGTTCCACTGCGAGGCTCTCGGAGAAGGGTCGCCGACGCGTTTGGGACCGCCGAACGACCCCGGGACCCTTCGAATTGAAACCCTTCCGGTGTAAGAACGCGGCGGACTCGCGAGATTCGCGCGCGTCGCGTTTGCCCGGCCGTGGAAACCGTTCCTCCAGATTTAGAGACGGGTCTCCGCGATAATCCGCGCGCCGCCGAATTCGGCTGCGAAATGCCAGGAGGTCGAGCGGATCTTGATTAAACGAATTACTCGAATGTCACGGAACTGCCGAGGCCGAGTCGTCGTCGTCGTCGTCGTCGTCGTCGGTCTCGAACCGTTGAATAGCGCTCGGAGAGGCACGGTCGATTTAATTTTGCTGGCAGCAAAACGATCGACGGATTCCGTCCACCGTTCAGAAATCTCCGCAGTTCAGCGAACGGATTCGGACCCGGAGCAACGATTTATAAATATTCACGACGAACCGTCCGTAACTATCGATCTCGTTCCACGTTCGACAGGTGCAACCGCGTCCGAAACATGCGCCGCTAATATTTCCGGGAGAAGGCGATGCTCGTGAAACGAAATCGCGAGGCGAGGATCTAACGCGGTAGATCCTCGCGCCTCGCGTGATAAAGTCGCTTGGAAACTCGGTCGTTGAGAGAGAGAGAGACAGAGAGAGAGAGAGAGAGGGAGAGGGAGAGAGCGAGCGCAAAAGAGGCTCCGTTAATTATGAGCTCGCGATAGTTCGTGTCTGACCTAGAGATCCGGATAGACCAAGGTTATCTCGTTCGCAAGGATCAGAGAGCCGCGTGCACAGCTGTGGCAGCGAGGGCGATCGACCAGCGTCTTGTCCTTGGCGGACAAACCCCGGTGAAAAAGCGGTTTTCACCCTCCCCGTCCTCCCGCCGTTCGTCGGCGTCGCTTTCGTCACTTACCCCGTCAGTCGAACGATGATCGTTTCGCTAGGCGAGAACGACGCGGACGTGGACCGTCGAGGATCATCGACGCACGACGTCGCGGGACGACGATCATCTGGAACCACTTGGCGCCCCGAGCATCCGCACGTGTTCCCCGAGGCCGAGGGTGCCGACGCCGAGCCTGCTGGACGAAAGTATCCGGCCGGGTCCTCGTTTTGTTTACCAGGATCGAGGGGCGATCGTCTCTCGGCGAGGGGCTCGTGGATCGCCGGAGTCAGGGGATCCTGCGGCTCGGGACTAATTGCCGCGAGGCGGAGCGAGTGCGAGCCATCGGGACGATCCCACTGGCTCGACCGGGATGGATTATGCCAGATATTAGAGGCGCGGAGGTGCACGCACGCACGCACACGGGTCCGAGGGCTCGGAGACCGTAGGTCTGTGGAAGAGGCGCCGCGAGGCTGCTGCGTCCGTCCGCTGGTCCCAAACGGCTCCCGGCGGGCCCGGAACGATCCCGCTGGTTCCCACGGGAACGAGAGATCGCCGATCCTCCCCGGCTCAGTTCATCCCTCCCGCGGACCGGTCCTCGAGGACTCGAACCGACGATCGAGGATCTTGTTTGGCAACATCGCGGTGGAACGTGGAACCGACTACGCGTCGTGGTTGCCGCCACAGCACGACTGACCGGCCGGCCGAAGCCACCCTCTCTGCTTTCGCCCCGTATCTCTCCCGCATTCCTCTTTCACTCTTGCGCGCGCTCCCCCGACCTCGCCCCGCGACCCGCACCCTCGCCCATGCCCACCCTCACCAGCCAGGGCTCGTACCGCTTCCTCCTCCTCCTCATCCTCATCCTCATCCTCCTCTTCCTCCTCCTGCTTCTCGTCCTCATCCTCCTCCACCTCCTCCTATTCCGCCTCATCCTCGTCCTCCTCTTCGCTTCCTCTTCCTCTTTCTCTTCCTCCTCGTCCTCGTCCTCGTCCAATAGCTACACCCACCGTCACCCTGTCTCCCCGCGTCCTCCCGCCCCTCCGTCACGGTCTCGGCGCCCCGAATTTTCCCGCCAGTTTTTAGATGTCCGCGCGATATCTTGACACCGTCGCGTCGCGTCCCGTCGCCTATTGTATACGCTGGCTCGCCTAAGCTTGCCAGACTAGGCCACCAGTTTGTTTTGATTCGGGCTGGCTCGCTTCGAGGATCCCTCGGCGCTGGTTTATCGATTCCGATTCGGATAATATGGTATACGGTTTCTGCGAATCCCGGAGACGCTACAGAATTCGCCCGACGCGACGCGTCGCGACGCAATGCGATGCGCTTTAATCGCATAGCATTCGGTCCTGTAGCATCGATTCGTCCCGCTTCCGTACGTCCAAGATCGCCTCGAGATCGTCGCGGAGGATACTTTTTTAATGTGTACGCGCGTGCTGCCGCGACGCGACGATTATCGTCGGCGAAGGTCGTAACAAGCGGAGAATCCGACGTCGCGAAGCGTCCGCGAGACGCGATTCAGAGGCCACGTGACACGATTCGATGGAAATTCGGAGGCAACGTACCACGATTCGAAGGCAATTCGGAGGTCATGTGACACGATTCCAAGACAATTCGGAGGCAACATGATACGATTCAAAGGCAATTCGAAGTTCATATGCCACGCTTTGAAGGCAATTAAAAGGCAATTCAAAGCTCACATATCACGATTCGAAGGCAATTCGAAGGCCACATGCCACGATTCGAAGGCAATTCGGAGGCCACATGCCACGATTCCACGGCCACGTACCTAATACAGCAAATTCTCCCCAATTTTCCTCCAGCTTGCAAACAAAAATGGACAATTTGGGAAGAGGAGATGCGATTATTCGAACCTTGCAGCTCGTTTTTACGATTGTTGACAATCGATAACCATAAAAAACGAGCCACAAGACTCGAACAATCGTATCTCCAATTTTGTGGACAATCCGAGCGTCAATTAGAGAGACATTACTGTATTTGCTTCGACAACTCGCGGAACCGCGAGTACTTCTAACATCGTCTTCGCGGTGAAAGCGTCGCGACGGGAAGCGGAAAAATCCTCTGCCGTTCCGTCAACGATCTTTTTCTCCATCGGCGGGGTGTGTTTTACGCAAACGTTTGCGCTGTAATCGATTTGCGCCGGGATCCGGGCGAGATCTAATAGGCTCGCGCTAATCTTCGCCGGCGTTTAAGAGGGTCGTTTAAATGCAGACATCCGACGGACGTTGAAGCGACGAGACCGGAATATCCGGCCGAGTCAGGTGCGCGCTCCGACGTCCTCGCCGCGATCCGCTCGGCTCGGCCCGGCTCGGCCCGGGGATTTCGTTTTAATTTAATACGCGCCGTCGCAGCGCTTTCCCCGACGGAAACTATGCCGCGTGTAAGGATATTATTTCCCTTGCTGAAGTTTATCCTGGACAGAGTAAATCCTGGAGGGCACGTTTCACCCTGCGAGACGCGGACAGCGGAGAAAGAACGGGGGCGAGGGGTGAGAGAGGGAGGCCTTGTTCAAGTCATCGTGCAAACGGCGAGAGAATCGCCGCGAGGCGCGCGGACGGAATCGCAGATAGTTGCTTGTGTGCTCCGCCTCTTCGGGAAAGAAACGAAACCCAGAGAGAAAGAGAAAAAGAGAGTGAGAGAGAGAGGGAGAGGGAGAGAGGGTGAGAGGGAAGCGGAAAGAATCATAGCCAGCATACGCCGCTGCCTCCGCTGATACTTCTGGACGCTTACAATATTTGGTAGGCCTCGTGTAAGCGAAACCCTTTCGTAATGTCAAGCAGTTTGCTACCCTTTCAAGCTCCTTGGTCAATAGCCCTTGAATGCGACGCTTGATCTGGATTAGCTCCTTGGTCAGCGATAGTCTGACAGGTTTATGGACTGTTCTTCTCCGGGCCGGGAAAAAGAGAGCGAAGCCAATACCCCGGAAGAGAGAGCCGCACGAAATCGGCCGCGGAATCGGCCAGCTGGCAGCCGATGGAATTCGGAAAGTTTTCGGCCGCGGTTCTACCGGGAACTCGATATTTTACAGAACAACTTCGCCGGTCGTTCTCCCGCGTTTCATTGCAACATTTTTCCGGCAGAGTTCGACTCGGCGAGGAACACTTTTTCGGGGGAAAATCGTTCGAGCGGGAGAAGGAAACGGCGAATTTAACCGCGCCCGTCCAAGGACGCGTTTCCAGTCGCGTTCGAAGTTCCGGCCAACGCGAGATCGAACGTTTCCTCGCGGTCGAAAGAAACGAGAGGGGTGCGGTGGGGGGTGGCGAGCGATAATTGCACCCGGCAGACCAAGACTATGGAATCGATCCGTCTGTTTGCTCGCGATCGAGCCACCGAACCGCGTTCCGTGAGTTATGACGCCGCCATAATTTACAGGTGGCCGTTACACGTGACTCGACTGTGTCGCCGGCAATGCCTGTAATATTGTTACAGCGGTAAGTTAACGGGCTGGCCGACGCACGCGGGCCCAGACGACTGCGACGACCACGAGGACGACGACGACGACTGCGTCGCGTCGTTAATTTGCCGAATTAATTATGATAAGTGACACGCGCGCTCGCGGCAAGCTGTTTTCAAGGTAAACTCGCCGCCGCGGCTTTTCCTTCCCGAACTTGGAGCCGAGTCGCCAACTTTTGTACGGCAGACGGTTGCCACCGAGCGACTTAAATCTCGTTCTCGGAGCAGAACACGCCGAAGCTCGGCTATTTTAATCTGGAAGTTTGCGCGCGGCTAAATTGAATTTTAATCGGGCCAGTTCCGTAGAATCTTCTGTCCGCGCTCGGCGATCTGCGCCGACAAAATGGCGAGTTAGCGGCCGGACTACCGAGCGGGTGAATTTTATACATATATTCTCAGCTTGCAAAATACAAATCCCGATCGGCCCTTCGCGATCCGTCGTCTCGTCCGCTCAACGCTCGTCGCATTAATTCTGCTGGAGGCGAGGAAGACGAGCCCCGCCGATCATTTCACCGCCGTCCGAGAACTCAAAGCGTACAGAATTTCGAGCGATTTATCATCCTTTTGTCCCGCGAAATAAATGATAATCAACTCGTTCCGATTCGTCCTTTGTCGCGAAACGATTTATTCCGAACGATGCCCGTTGTCTTTATCCTGCTGCAGGGATTTTGCCATCGGCAGTCCCAGAAGCTCGTCGCGCTCGTCGCGTTCGTCTGCGATCGAGAACGATTTATTATATTCCTTTGTCCGGCGAAATAAATCAAAACCAACCGCTCCGTCCTGTGCTCGTTAACAAATGCTCCGTTTTCGTTAAACCGCGGGACCCACGACCCTTGCGATAATTAAGTCCGCCGCAGCGGTCATTTTGTCGGCAAAATTCCTCCTCTTCCGCGCCGACTTTCCTCGAACATTTCAAGCCTGCGATTATTTTTCACCGATACGAAAATCAAATATACCCGGTCCCATTGAATGTACAGAGTGTTCCGTAATTATGTTAACACCCGAAAAAGGTATTCCTAGGTGATCGATGACCAAGTGATTGCTGAGGCTATTTTAAGCAACTTTTTCCTCAGCGAAAATGTAATCCGCGGCTTCGTTTACGAGTTATTAACGAAAAACAGTGACGAATAAGAGGCGCGAGGCGGTCCGAGCCAACGAGCGACGCCCAGTTCCGCCGATTGGCCCGGCCTCTTAGCGCCAGGCGAGAGCTCGCCTCTCATTGGTCAGTGTTTTTCGTCGATAACTCGTAAACGAAGCCGCGGACCGCATTTTCGCTAAGGAAAAAGTTGCTTCGAATCACCTCAGCGATCACCCCTTTCCGAGTATTTACATAATTATGGAACACCCTGTAATGTTCGCGCTACCATTTCAGCTAGAAATCACGATCGCTTGAACAGGAGGAAACGCGCGCTTCCTCCGGTGTCCCATTAAATTCCCATTGCTCTGGAAAAGCCGGGCTTTTCGAGGTCCCGTCCGTTCTACGGGAACTTCGGCAATCTTTCTCCGATTCTTTCGGCAAAAGCAGTTTCCAGCAGCGACGCGAGGCCAGCTGCGCTCGATATTAATCAATCGCCCCCTTCCCGTTCCCCGGCTCGGCGAGTTTCGCGAGTTTGTTTTAACTTAGCCGTACTTATTCATACACGGCCGGCCCCGTTCGTCCGCGCGAATCCCAGGCCGTGTACTTTACACGGACGATTTATTTTCATTCCGGATACTTTCCCCATTCTTATCCGCCCGGATAGGGCCCAAGAGCGCTCCGCTCCGCGAGGCGTCGACGCGACGAAAATCATTCGAGCTGCCGAACGAGAACTAGTCGTTAATTAGGCACGCGCTTTGTTCTTCGGCACGGCGCTTCGACGATTGTTTAATCGAGTCCTAGTTCGTTTCGAATCTTGTCCGAACGACGAGAACTAAGTGAAATTAGTTTGCACGCTGCAGAAGCGGAATGCATCGCGGCTTAGCCCGAGTCTTCAGGACAGTTTCCATTCGCATTATAATTTCTAAATTTGTGTCACAATACCGTCTTATAGTTAGCTGCATTCCTTTCATGATTCAGCGGTGTGCTTTTAAAATGGACGAGGTAAATTCTCCTTAATTGACTCTCTGCTTGGAAACGAAATTGGACAATTTGGGAAGAGCAGATACGATTATATATATATATATATAATACTGTATAATATACCATAATGTAATATAATAAATATACTAAATATATTATAGTATACTATATTATATAATATT